TGTTATAACTAACCTCAGTCTCAGCTAATATGTGTGAAGAACTGAGGGAAAAGGAAATGAATTCAAATGAATGAATATATCCGTGGCCTGGCATGGGTTAGTCCGAAATAATATAAAAGAGGTCTTGTGACTAAGTAGTCACATGGTGGATTCTGGGCGAGTTGCTCTCCCAGAATGTTCCCACGCTGACGCAGGAATGTGGCTGTTCAGGTTAGCTCCGTTGTGTCAGAGACCAGGTTGAGACGAGGGAGTGTCTCCATGACGGAGGGCTTCGGCCTCAGCGACTTATACCAGGAGCGCTGTAGGAGAAATAACGGCCACGCTATGGAAACCCATTATGGAAATATGTCAGATAAATCACAAAACCTCATATGACAAGTAGATATGAGAAAATAGAAGGACCTGAATTTTTATGAATTATTATGACTACACACAATAAATCGAAAGAAAGAAAAATAGCAAAAATACTTCAAGCTTACCATCAACGAGACGGAATTCTCGGGGGAATTTATAACAAATATTAAACCAAGAATTAGGACAATCGACCTAGATTTGACTATAAAAACAATCAGAGAACCTCCACGGAAACTACTTTCCCACGTCTGCACACGTAGCCAAGGATGGAAGTACCACGGAACAAGGATTCCTCAGGAACTAATGCAAAATTCAAAGTCGTGTTTATAATAGGAAATATAGATGTCCACCAAACGGACCCAATGAGAGTAATTACAGGGGAAACTACTCATAAACAACGGAGATATGACTAAAACTCCTGCAAAAACGAGGACAATGCCTAAAAGGGAAGCGCGAAGATTAACTAGTAACGACCGAGACAAGCTTGATAGCCCATTAGAAAGGAAGGGATCCAATCTTAATCCTCCCAAATTTTCATAATAAAAGGATCATGCGTTAATGAGATATCCAATAACAGGAATAGTGACATCAAAAGTCCGAGCTTAGGGAAAAGACGATGTTTGCGTAGGATCCATAATTAAAACATACAACGAAATTTACACGGAAATTATTAAAAATGGGGAACTATAGTTATGCAAATTTTCAGCCCAAACAGTCCAGCCGTTGTGAAGTTATACCCATGACGGGAATATAGAAATCCGCATCATGTGTAATGACACGTGAGGGTGGCGATGCACAGGGAACCGGCCGTCGGAACCGAGATCCGCACTTCGGCAGATCGCGAAGACCAATTTCCATCCAAATAAGGAAGAGCCCGGTCAAAACAAAGCATGGAAAGTGCAAAACAACCTTAAATCATGAGGGAAAAATCTGAAATAAATCACAGAAGCCCATATGAAAGAAATAAACACCCGTGCATATCATAAATCCTGAACAATTAAACGGAAACGGCGCCCGCATACGAACGACTATGGGAATGATGCACGTGATTACCGAATGTGCGCGCAAACTTTTGCTAACTCAACGAATACCAGGAAATAGGACACAACCTTGGTACCATTGGAAAGGTGGGAATAAATGAAAATTTATGAGACCAAGAACGTGGGAAAACATCCAGAAATGAATGAGATATAGGGACATGAAGTTAGAAACCAGAAAACGCGCGGGAAAACAGCTTCAAGAGGTCCAGAGTCCTAAATAAAATACATAAAAATATGATGTCTTCAAGGACGACCTACTATAACAACCAACAATACATATGGAGGATTAGGATGTGATAATACAAAAGGGAATCAGGGAATATGAACGAAATTCACGAAAACCACTAAACTACGACGGACCATGGTGGGAATTTTAGGGAACGATATTCTAATGAGGTGGAGAGCTATAACACATTCGTTTGAGTAATTCTTGACTACTAGCAACTTTTTCTTTCAGTTTTAAACCTGAATAATTCACTCATTTACCATTTCAGTCTCATTTTAACTAAATGTCACTAAATAAAAATGGAATAAATCAGCTGAAGGTCTCAGCACAGCCGTACGCATAGTAATGCGAAGTTTGAATTCAGAATCATCGAGTCATAGCAAATTTAAAGGGAATTTGAAATAGGTAACTGCAGCAAATGCAGCGCAGCCAAGTTCCAATTAACCATTAAAATAGCTTAGGCGAGGGAGGACAATAAGAATTCTAGGCGCAGTCTGACTGCAGTAGAACCGCAGTTCAGTGCAGCAAAAGCGCAGTAGAACTATAGCATGAAAATTTCATTTTTATTCAGTTTGAGAAAAATACACTGTAAATAAATCCTGTAAATAGAAGGTAGAGCGTGAAAAAGGAAGGTGACCCAAGGAGTATAAAAGGGAGACCCTTTCTGTGACTTTTCGCCCCCCTTAGAGAAGTAAGAAAATAGAGTATTATTTTTCTCAAGCATTTCTGGTTGTCACTCCAGTGCGAAAAAGTGATATACAGTTAAGATTGCCACTGTAGTAAAAGGCAGCAATTAAGGAGAGAAATATTAAGTAGATATTTCAACAGGAGAGCTGGTTAACACTCCAGATTTCAAAGTGTAAACACAAAACAGTTATTTTGCTACTGTTAAAACAAGCAATAAAATAAGACAAAAATAAAACAAACTCAAGGGACACTCCAGACAGAATCCAAATTCATTAACTGAATAGAATCTTTGAAACTTCACCAAGTAGAAGATTAAATTCAAGTTTAAATCCAAATTAAACAACTCTACACAGAATTACACCTAGACAAATTAATAAATTTCAATAAAGAAACAGCTCCGCAGGGCTCGGTTTATCTGTAAGTCAATTCTCAGGAACTTTAAAACTAACCCATAAAAATAGAATTAGCCAAAACACTCGGATTGGTACTATATTTACAATAAATAACACTAGTACACTTCCCCATCCTAACTAAAGAACCAGGGAACAGCTTGGTGGTGGTCTCGTTTGAACCTCCCAACTGACCTTCCTTCGTTCTCTCCTTCAGCGCTGTGCCTAGTAACATGTCTGTGCCCTAACTTACTAAACTGGCAACTGTCAGAGACCAGATTCGAGATGAGGGAGAGTCTCCGTGACGGAGGGCTTTGGCCTCAGCGACTTCTGCCAAGAGCGCTGTGCCTAGTGACACGTCCGTGCCCTAACTTACTGACTGGCAATCAGAACCGAAGGGGGGGTAACTCTAGTTGATTTTATTACTGGGGTGTAACCTATGTACAAGTGGGATATATATATGGTTACAGCGAAGATGGGTCCGCAATTGGCAGAGCCGAATGGAGCGGAGCTAATGGGGTTTAAACATTAGCCGACTGAATATTACCGACGAGTCGGGTTGCGGGGTTAGCGGAAAGGCAGGCAATAACCCAGAAACAGAAAGGAGGGATAGGCCCGAAGGTGGGCTCTGCAGGGCAGGTGAGTGTATTGCCCAGCGGAGGTGGGAGTGCGCTAGCGGACGTCGGAGCTGTCCGGAAGTCTTCGGGGCTCCGTACTTAGGGAGGCATAGGTAATAAATTGAAATGAGGGGGTGGTGACCATCGAGGGGTACCGAGAGGATTGTGGAATACGGGAGCTCCGAGGTTAGTGAGGGAGGAGCGGAGTTAGACTGGAGGGATCGGAGGAACCGGAAGTCGATGGCTGGGGATGGATATGACAGCAACCAGAACTGAAGGGGGTAAACTCTAGTCGATTTTATTACTGAGGTGTAACCTATGTACAAGTTGAGTATATATATAGTTACAACGAGGGTGGGTCCGCAAACGGCAGAGCCGAGCAGAGCGGAGCTAACAGGGTTAGACATTAGCCAATTGAATATTACCGACGAGTCGGGTTACGGGGTTAACGGAATGGTAGGCAATAACCCAGAAACAGAAAGGAGGGATAGGCCCGAAGGTGGGCTTTGCAGGGCAAGCGAGTGTATTGCCCAGCGGAGGCGGGGGTGCGCTAGCGGACATCGGAGCTGTCCGGAAGCCTTTGGGGCTCCATACTTAGGGAGGCATAGGTAATAAATTGAAAAGAGGGGGTGGTGACCATCGAGGGGTACCAAGGTGATTGCGGAATACAGGAGCTCCGAGGTTAGTGAAGAAGGAGCGGAGGTAGACCAGAGGGATTGGAGGGATTGGAGGGAATGGAAGTCGATGGCCGGGGATGGATATGACACGTTGGAGTACCCTCATAGCACACGGTTCCTCCAACAACTCCGAGAGGTCAACGATGGTCCGTTCAACCATCTTCCAACCGGTTTCACATTGGAATAAGGACATCTCAGCATCTGCTGAGTGCCCGCTGTCTGAAGCACCCCACGCTTCATATTTTTCTGGGCTGGTTATATCCCCAGCCCATACTATCTCCTCTGGTTCTGAGAGGTCTAAGACAGTTTACTCAACTGTCTTCCATCCTGTTTCACGCCAGAATGAGGGCAGCTCAGCTTCTGCTGAGTGCCAGCTCATCGATGTGCCCCGCATGTCGATTTTCTCTGGAACTGCCAGATCTCCAGTCCCAGCCTGTTCCTCTCGTTCCGAGAGGTCAGAGACAGTTCCTGCGACCGCTCCCCCACCGGTTTCAAGTGGGGAACATCACTTACCAGTCCAAGCTGAGTGCCGGTTCATGGAGCACCCGCGCGCTTTGACCTTTTTGGGGTCACAGCACCCAGTGGTTCCTACCACTGCTCCTGTGCAACTACCTCCATCTGTACACACAGGAACGATACAGGAAACGCATCCTGTGTCGTTTCCAGCTCAGATGGACGGCTCACCAGCCTTTTCTGGTTGTTGGCCCTCAGTGTCAACTTGCGCTTGTTGTTGTTGTTGTTGTTTATTCTGGATATTTAACCTGCAAACTGTAGGCTGCTAGTGAGAGCGCCAAGGGCAGGGGTCGAGATAAATACACAAAAATAAGGTGAGAAAATAAAGAAATAAGTCCGATTCGGGTGTCCTTAATCTCTCTGATAAGGCGTTGCCCAAATGCTGCTCCACTTTTGAGTTGTCGTGTTGGGTTGACCGTTTTTAGGTGTCGGTTTCTAAGGATGTAGGGGTTATAACCCCTACTCTTTCTCACTCTGGGTGAACAGAGACGGTGTCTATGCCCGTCTCATCGCTGGGTTTTGGTCAGGTTGATGGCAGCTCAGCTGCTGGTCATCAGTTCACTGAAGCGCTGCCCGCTTCAACAAGTTCCGAGCCTGAAAAGGCTCTCCCTCTCTCTCTTGAGTCTGGAACCGTCCCAGACTCTCTCATAGGCTCTTCTCCTCTCAAGGAGCTTCCAATCCCGGAGTTCCAGGAGGAGAGCAAGTCCTCTGAGGATGACTCTGTGCTTGCCGCTCCGGCAAGCGCAGTTCTTGTGCCCAGTAGACATACTGGGTTACACCATTTGAGATCGGCTGAAAAAGCCGATCAACTCCCTTCATACTTGAAGGGAGACAGTGATTCCGAAGAGAGAATCAAGTAATTGATTCTCTCCTCCATATTGGGGAGACGGCGCGGACTGGGCAACAGTCTGTGCAACTTGCGCTCCCAATGCTCAGGCTTGGCAGCATTCCTCTCATTCTGAGAGGCTAATGACCTCTCAGAATCTCAGCTAGGTCGGCGCTGCTCAGTCTCTGAGGAGTATCTGCCATTTCTGGAAGCGCCCTCGCGCTTCACCATAAATTAGGGTCACTTGAATATCTGGCCCTGATTACTTCCTCCCATCCCCCGAGAGGGTCTAGACAGTCTTTCTGTCAACCTTTCGACCGGTTTTGGGTGGTACTAAGTGTCATTCAGCTCATGCTGAATGCCTACTCGCTAAAGCGTGTTGCGCTTCGACAATTTGAGGCCTGCATAAAATATGCAGCCCTCATCACACACCCTCACTCTGATACGCTAGAGACAGTCTGTGCAACTGTCTCTCGATCTATTCCAAGTGCCATCAAGCACTTGTTGATTTATCTGGAATTTTGGGCCAGAAGCGCTCTGCGCTTCGGGCCTCAAACACCTTTTACCCATTCCTATGGGTAATTCATGCATTCTCCCATTCAGGGAGGAGAGGGATAAGCACACTACTGCTTATCCTGAGTCTTGAGCCATAGAAGCGCCTGCGCTTCAGGCCACATCGACTTTTTACCCATTCTTTTGGGTAAATTGCGCATTCTCCCCCTTGACAATGATCCAGGGAGGAGTGGCCTTAACTGGCCTGTGGGTCCATTGACTCTACCACCTCCTAGACAACTGTCTAGGGAGGAGCAGGCCTTCACGGGCCTGGTGTTTATTTATTTCTTTATATTTCCTTCGGTTCTTGTATGGTAAAGGTCTAACCACCTTTACATTTTACTTTTAATTATTCTGTGAAGGTCTAACCACCTTTACATGTTATTTTTTATTATTCCGTGAGCAACTAAGGTCTAACCACCTTTGTCACCTCCATTCATCTATTATTTCTTTGTTTCTTTTAATTATTTTATTGGGAAACCAAACACTCAAACCTGCTTTATGCAATATTAATATCGCAAGGGAGGAGAGTGTAAGGAATGCCCCACTATAAACAACATACAACACATGTAATTACATATATAAATGATGCGGGGTATGATGAATGGAGTTTCACTCCTTCCCCCCACCTCGTTGAAATATAGCTCTATTCAAGCTCATATCTTTGATGGACTTGAGGAGTGAGGAGATACAAGGTCGGCACCTACACCGACCTTACACAAAGGCGATTAAATGGAATGAGCTAACCAATACAATGGGTATAAGCGGAGGTGGGGTCAAAGTCCGAGGTCGGAGCTAAGACTGGAGGTTCCGGAGACAGAGATGCAAATGGGATTCCAGAGCGGAGGTCCAGAGTCAGGAGCATAGGCATTGCATGCTTGTCTGGAAGGTGTCAAGGTTGAGGTCGGACCTGGAATGTTCCGGAGTCGGACCAAAGGTGGTGTCAGAGCCAGAGGTGGGATAATGTAAGGAGTGGTAACCCCACCCTTCATTCATTATCTTATTGTATATTTGTCTCAATTTAAACATGTATAAACAATGTATATACAATAATGTGGGAATTTGGGAAAAGGAACAGAACTCCTTTTCCTCCCCATCATTGATAATTAAAGCTCCATACAGCTCAACTTTATTGATGACCTGAGGATTGAGGAGAACTGGGGTTGGAACCTACACCAACCCCTTACACTTTTTTGAGCTTAATAGGCTTTATTCCCACACCTGTGCACACATATTTGCGCGCACGGGTTATTCAACATCACCCACTATCTGCCTTCTAGACATGGAGCCTAGAAGGGTGGCAGATTTTCCACCAGCTCTGCAAAGAGCTGATTCTATGCGTGAAAGTGCATATGGTTCCATGACCAAATCCAATGCTGGTGATGCCAGCATTGGCCAACCCAATCTGTACCAGATTGGTGTTTCCAATGTACCTCTAGGGCCTGTTGATCCCCCAGGTGCATTGGATGGTTATAAATCGCTAGCTGAGCTTAACACACTCAGCGAGCATGAATTGTGCGAGTACAGCGCAATGGTCAAGCAAAGGGCTGAGGAAGCCCAGAAAAGGGTTGACACGACCTGGCAAAAGTTAAGGGACATGTTCCATGCCCTTACTGCTAGCCAGGGCAGCCTAGTCAGCCATCTAATGACGGCCTATAGAGGGGGGGCCATTTGGCCTTCAAATGGGCCTAAAAGGGGGTATTTACTAGTGGATGTCCTGGACATCCTGGTGAAGACTGATCCATTCACCAGGACATCCCCAGGATGTCCTGGGATGATTCTATAATTCAATCAAATTCAATCAAATGCTTCTGTGATTCAATCAAATTTGTATTATTCAGAGTAGACATTCAAAACATAATGCCGCAATTGAATCTGATTTCCCATGACAATCCTCAGGCTGCTCAACTGTCTGTGCACAATGCTGGCCACTGTCTGAAGGGGTGTCAACACTGTTTCCCATGTCCCCAACACACTTTACACAGATGGATAGCCCCTTTGAATAGCTTCCAGAATATATATTTTGAGACTGAATTGACCAATAAATCATCGAGAAAAATGCAAAATACTTTTTTGGACGCGAGTCTTTTGGGTTAGTGTGGCTGTCCACCTCATGTCTGTGCATAGTGCTGGTCATTGTCCGGAGGGGTGTCCAGACTGTTTCCCACGGTGTCAACACACGTTGCGTAGTTGGATAGCCCCTTCAAATAGCTTCCAGAATATATAATTTGAGACTAAATTGACAAGCAAGTTATTGAGAAAAATGCAAAATACTTTTTTGGATGCAAGTCTTTGGGATAGTGCTTGGGCCACTAAATTTCACTGACAGTCATCGAAGTCATCGAAATTCCCGGGTCACTGATATCCCAAAGACTCGTGTCCAAAAAAGTATTTTGCATTTTTCTCAATAACTTGCTTGTCAATTTAGTCTCAAATTATATATTCTGGAAGCTATTTGAAGGGGCTATCCAACTACGCAATGTGTGTTGACACCGTGGGAAACAGTCTGGACACCCCTCCGGACAATGACCAGCACTATGCACAGACATGAGGTGGACAGCCACACTAACCCAAAAGACTCGCGTCCAAAAAAGTATTTTGCATTTTTCTCGATGATTTATTGGTCAATTCAGTCTCAAAATATTCTGGAAGCTATTCAAAGGGGCTATCCATCTGCGTAAAGTGTGTTGGGGACATGGGAAACAGTGTTGACACCCCTTCAGACAGTGGCCAGCATTGTGCACAGACATTGAGTTGGACAGCCACACTAACCCAAAGACTCACGTCCAAAAAAGTATTTTGTGTTTTTCTCGATAATTTATTGGTCAATTCAGCCTCAAAATATATATTCTGGAAGCTATTCAAAGGGGCTATTCAACTATGTAAAGTGTGTTCAGACCATGGGAAACAGTGTTGACATCCCTCTAGACAGTGGTCAGCATGTGCACAGACCATGGGATGGACGAGTATGGCATTCCGGGACAATTTGCAACCATTGAATCAAACTGAATTAGGACATCTGAGGACATTTGCAACAAATGAATGAAACTGAATGGCCAGGATGTCCTAGGACGTTTATAGTGAAAAAGGCCTTTTAGGCCCCATGCAAACGTCCTGAGGTCCCCCCTATAAGGGCCCACATGGTGGTTGTCCAAGGTGCAGGAGGAGTAATAATGCTGGAGAAAAGCACACGTGCGAGAGTCGAGAGGCGGTGAGTGGTGGGAAAAAGCAAACAATATAAAGAGGGTGGGAAAAACGCTAAGGAATACCAGGCTGGAAAGTGACCTTGCAAGCAAGGTAAAATCCTTGATTGCAGGAACAAGCCGGAAAAATCCGAGGCAGAGTTCATCAGGGGGGTCCTGCCTAGCGAGAGCCACCGAAGATGCATGGAGCCGAAACGACAGGATGGGGGTTGGTGCGTGGTGCGAGAAAAGAGGTGAGATGAATACTGCTAACTTGCATCGCACCAATATTGACCGGTGGAAGTGACAATGTCGGAGGAAGGGGGGATGGGGCTGTGTCGAGGTGAGCAAAAAGGCGAGCGATGAACGCCGCCGATATTTACACATAAGTCATGTCTGAACAAGTAGACATGAAAACTTGGCAATGAGGCGATAAGATAAGAAAAAAGCCAAACGCACCGAGATCGAATACGATACCATGTCCGCTCCATCCAAGCAGGTAAGCTCCGGATTTGCGTGGAGGGGGGGCGAACTTGCCTGCAACCGGGGCGGCTTTGTCTTGGCCTAAGGTACGGTCGAAATCCCCGTCTACGCTGGCAAGTGCATAGCAGGACGCGAGGCCGCTCACTGAGACGAGCAACACCGGCCTGCCAGCTCGAGCACGGTGCGCACCGTTGGACCACTCACGAAAACCGCCAAACTGCACCGTCTCCATCAATGCCAAGGCCCGAACCGATAAGCCATGCCCGAAGCCGATGCACCAGTGCCGTCGAGCACGAGGTTCCACCGGAGCCCAAACGGGCTGTCAATGTCTATGGGAATCGCACGTACACATTTCACCGTTGCTCGAAAACCCCGAATTTTCATTAGTTTCGCGACGAGATATGATGGAGTGTTTGCAATCGGTTCCTCCCCCCTCGCTTTCGCGGCACTGGTGTCGAGCCCTGCGCTGCGTTGGTAATCTTGCTTTGATGATGGTTCGACGTCGGCACCAGTGCTGGGTAACCCAACAAGCCTACGGTCGAAGTTAAACAGCGCGAAAAATTTGTTTTACGAAAATTCACAGCAACACGAGTGAGGCCTGTAGCGTGCAAACGGCTGGGTCACAGAGATGTTGTCAGCGTAACATGGAATGTATAGCACAACACCTTCCGGTGCTCACGGATGCCCACTGAGTGAAAGAAGCCATAACACCTCATGCAGCTCAGGCATCTCATTTGATTTGGTGCCAGCCCACGGAACAGATTGCCATGGTCGTTGGGCGAACTCGTGTCCCGGCACACCGCAAGAATATTCATGGTCGGAAATCATACTAGCCAGGGGCATTGTGGTTGGGCTGAGAGAATGGATCTATTTCTGCAGGTGCCGGTCTTCCTGGCGTGAGAGATTAGTTTGAGATGATGGTCTCTTTTAGCAACTAGAAGGGCTGCTGCGCCGCCGTGACCTTGCTTGGGAATAAAATGGGATATTGCTTTCGGTCACACTAGTGCACGTTCCACCAGATTAATGTATTATTTCGGAAACTAAACTAGCCGGTGGAGACTGACTTTGGATGGGTGGTGGGATGATAAATAATAGAAGAGTTACCGTTAGCTTTTTGTAGAATCCAGATTCTTTTTTTCTGGGCGTATGTATGTATGTATGAAAAAAAAGCAAAAAGGTGATCAACAAAGAATAGATTTGACGTTATTGTGCATGTGTTTCCCCTTCCCCATGTTGGCCATCTATTCCTAATGGTATCGTTGCTTGATTGGGGCCCATGTAAGCACGCTCTGAGGGTGAGCAAAGGTCCAGGGAGTTCCACTCTTTCGGTGCCAGTTTTCTCATCGTCACATAGCTCGTCCGGGGCCTTATGGTTCTCAGCAAGACCATGTTCAATGTTTTTCATGAGGCCTAGGTTGCACGGTGTCTTCCAAATGGCCAAGCATTCCTGAAAGCCCTTAGCGCTCCGCGGAATTTTGTTTCGCAGGTCATCCACACAAGATTAAGGCCATTGGGCCTTAGCTCTTTGAGTTTTGAGTCCGGCATGGTAAATGTTGATGTGATACAGTTCAACGATTGAAGTGCTTGAGAGTGTGATCCAGGCTCAACAACATGCATGGATGGTGATTGTCCGCATCGACAGAGCAAGTGGGTTCACAGTTGAAACTCTCCGACATCGTTTCGTGGGAGCTTTCGTCATTGGAGCGAGAATCCAAGTCAAACACATCATAGACTGTTGCAGGGGGCTAACTGGGCGTTGTCGGATCGCCTGTTTGTGCCTCGAGACTCTGTGGCAGATCCGTGGCCTCAGTCTCATCAAAGTGCAAGTCCGCATTGGAAACATCATGGGCAGCTTCGCAGGAGCTCTCTCCATCAAAGTGTGCGAACAAGCAAAAACCGTTTGGCAAGGGATCTTATCATTGAGACATGACTGAAGATTGAAGACATAATCATAGATTGTTCCGCAGGAGTCTTCATCCTGGATCCACATGTCCGTGAGGGGACTTATGACCAACTTGGCCTCTATGCCGGCTACTGTTGGAAATGCGAGTCACCGGAGATATCCGGGGGCATGTGGAGGATAATGTGGAGGATTTTACTAAGCGCGCAGCCTGCACAGGAGTTGCCTTACGTAGATTTTCCTCTTTATTGTATATATATACGCACGGACATTATCCCCAAATCACTAGTTATATTCCCGCTTCTATCTTACATCTGTGCTACGAGTGAGCCGCGGGGAACCGGGTTGCCTTATCCGGAACGCCGTTTACAACAGCTACACTGCTTCGGGACTTGAGATCGACGGAAACTAAGGTGAGATGGGCTTCTGTACAGCCTACAGCACGCTTTGGGGGGTATGAACAATAATTAATAGACGAATAGACGAATAAATTCGGCCAACGGGAACATAGAAGAAAGCGACCATGTGATACATTTCTGCCAGCACGTGTGAATAAAGAATGAATTGGAGGGTGGGAAAGTGAAAATTCCCACGAATTCCTGACTCGAAGGTGACCTTGCATCGGCGTCTTCGCACCTCGGTGCAAGCCGATTGAGTCATTTATTGTGACGTCAGCATTCATCGGCAGGCCTCCAGCCTCTGTGGCTGGGTAATATTAGATGGGTAGGCCTATTGTGCGTTTGGGGTCTTTATTCCTACTGTCAATACAATGATTACTGATTATTTGGTGAAGTTGGCATTGAGTTTGCAGTTTACTAAGAGTGAACGGCCGTCACAACGGCTGTTGCCGGTTTTCCTCGCTGCTAAACACTAGAACAGTTGCCCATGGCCACTTCCATCACTCTTACCTGCTTGGCGGTTGACCGTGGAGGAAACCACCTCGGTGCCGTGTTTTTTCTGAATATGTCGCCTCGCGAATCTGTTGACTTCCTTTGCGACGCTATCAAGTCTAAATTAGCCCACCAACTGGATCATCTGGATGCGAACCAGCTGGTTTTGTGGAAGCTCTCATCGCCGATACCAAGGGGGGTTACAGGAGCTGAAAAAATAGCTTTCCGTCAAAGGATAAAGGCAATTGAGTTCCCTGATCCTGAATGCGACGAGGCACTGGAGGGAAACGGCCCCGTGCAGATTCTCGACCCTGAGGACAGGATATCCAAATACTGGCAGGAAGATCCCGAGAAAAGGCATCTCCATCTCATCGTCCAAGTGCCGCATGACGGAAAGAGGAAGCGTGAGGATCCGGGTAGGTCTTTGTGACTTTGTATTTTATGGCCAAACTCCTCGCTTGACTGCAGTCGATATTTCAATGGAGCTGTACGAGAAATGGAACGTTTCACTCCCAATCACTCCGAACGTTACCGGTTTGGGTGTCTATCTGGAAGCACCTCTTGGGCCCGAAGAAAAAATTCCGATTTCCGATCTGCAATGGCGGAGCCTCCTGCACACAAATCCAAACAGTCCTGAGCTTCTTTGCTCTTCAAAAGACCTTGAGACGCTCTTCATCAAGAATGAGGACGAGATGGCTAGCTTCATCTGGCCCGTAGTACAGGGTGCAATTCTCTGGACTCCACCGAACTCATCTGGTACTGAAGATTCCTTCCATGCATTCTGGGACAACAACATCCTACACATTCTCACGACCTGTCTTGGCAATCCCCAGTGGATCCGCAACAGCAACCGTGGCACGAATACTGGGTCTTTCCGACCTGATCTTGGTCTCCTTTTGCAGTTGGCCTGCTTATTCCGGGGGGAGGAGAAATGTCCATTGTTTTCTGGAACACATCCTCGTGAGGAGCTCGCCGACAAGACTCGATGGGCCTATGGCCCTGCTCAGTATGTGCTCGGTATGTGATTCTTCTCCTACACTACCTGTTGTTGACCCGCGTATTTAGGCTACTACGCAATTGGTGTTGATATCACGCTTGTGGCTATCCGACCCGGCACAGACGCACAGGGAGATGAACAAATTATTGTAGAAGACATTCAAAACACAAATCTGTCAACAAGGCGGGGACGTATTGGAAATGCGGTAACGTTGATCAGACTGGTCAAGGTTCTCCGGGCATTAGAACGTACTGTAAAAAAAGATGTGGATTCTGATATGTTCACATTGGAACGGTGAGTGTCATTTGTGTATCCTGTTTGCATTGAACCTAACCGTGAAGTTAGTGATGATGGAAAATCTCTTGAATTTTTCAAGCACAAGATACGGAAGATTTATCGCGTAGAAGATAAACTCAAGGTTTCCTTTCTTGAATCTATCTACAAAAAACTCAAAGCAAAAGGCGTGCCAAATGTCGACACAGTTAGGAAAATTGAAATGTCCCATCCAGAACATGGTTGCTTTGTTGAACTTGCGCCTCGAGGCGACTCCAGCGGTCCACAGTCTGCTGAGGATGTTAAAAATGCGGTCATCTGTGTCCTCAAGGCCCTCCAGGTAAGTATTTTGATCGGATTATTTAATTGAGTTCATGTAGTCTGTAGGTATCACACGCTGTGCCACCGGTGTTTCATCGAGATATTCGTTGGCCAAATGTCATGAAAAGCCTTACCGATCCCAAGCAATGGTTCCTCATCGACTGGGAAGATGCTGCCATCCCTCCAACGAAAGCAGCCCCCAATTTGGATTCTGAAACACATGCACCACAAGTATTTAAGGATGGCCATGGCGCAGAGGTTGACCTTTGGGGTGTTGGGAACCTCATTACTAGAGCTGGTGTGCCTGGTCTCCCTGAAAACCTCCGTTCTCTTGGATGGAAGTTTGTAGAGGGTTCTGTTTTGTCAGCTGAGCAAGGACTTAGAGAAATAACATCACTGTGATATCCAAATTGTGTAACATATCAACTACATGTGCAGAGATAGTGCAAATTCAAGTGCCTTTCTTACTTTGAGAAGTACCATTGCAAGTTTATAGGCAGACTCGGTGCCAGTCGCTCACATGAGTTTCGCCAAGATTGTCGGAAAACTGGGGATTCCGTTGTAATGCATTTATGGGGCAGTACAAGGGTGTTACGGAATTTTCTGGGCATTACAAGGCATTATGCACTACATATTGACCTGTTTTGACCCCACTCATCCCTGTGAACCAATACAATCATGGGGCATGCATGTCCCTCCAAACGGCCATCCGGCCAAAGCCGAGGCACCTGCTTACATCACACTTGTAAGCACCGTTGTAGGTGATGTGCACATTGATTAATATCCTTAATGCCAGTGTAACATATATTACATTATAGATACGACTTCAACCCCTGATTGCGGCTCTATGTCCACACGTCCCAGTAAGTGCCCAAAATCTATCGATCCCACCCAGCTTTAACATCCACCATTACACAGCTCAAGGTTGCCACACACAATCTTTTATAGGTACAACTTGAACCTCTGATTGTGGCTCTATGTCAGGGCAATAGCCCTGAACCCCGAGCCATATGTAATTACAAGATACATATAGTCATGTGGGTATGTGGTAACTTCTGTTAACTGCTTACACACACCATAAAATACACATCTTTGTATCACTTATGGCTCTGTGTGCTGAGCTACCCCACTGAGACCTCACACTTTTTTAAGTGTATGAGGTGTGTTTTACAACACAACCCACCAAATCTATCAAATCT